GACATAAAAATGAAACACTTAGTGCATAAGCTGTATAAGGCCGGAGTTAAGGGGGAAAAGAAGTACCTTGGCTACTTTTTCCTATTAATGACTTCCTTTGGAGCAACTCCCAGCTTTGTTCTTCATTTAGAAACGGAGGTTGATGGTGGTAACCATTTGGACCAACATATGATGCCACTTCCCTATTACGAGTTGTGAGCAATATTTTGCTTCCTTCCTCGGTTATTGGAAGTGCATATTTGATGCAATTCCAAGCATCTGGTGACCAAATGTCATCAAGAACGATCAAGCATCTCCTATCCTGCAACACTTGGTGAAGTCTCTTTGCTAGCTCCCCCTCTGTGCCATGCATAACATCCGATCTTTGCTCGGGGGAAAGTTTAACAAGCATCCCTTGCAAGAGATCTTTTGTTTGCCATTGTTGTGACACACAAACCCAAGCAAAACCAGCAAATTGTTTCTTCAACTTTGGATGATGATATACCCTTTTAGCAAGAGTAGTTTTGCCCAAACCTCCCATCCCATAAATTGAAACGACGCTATGATGGCCTGCTTCATTTCCATTCAACAAATATTTCACCAACATCTCCACATCCCTCTGTATTCCAACTATATCCTCCTCAACCACAAACGAAAACGTCCTCCTTAACTGTTGTTCCATGACCATAGAACTTGAGCCTTCTTCTTCTATTACGGCTCTCACACCATATTCGCTAAAATTCTTAGTGAGATTAGATATCCTCGTTCTCAGACTCTGGATCTCTGAGCTTAACTTGTGTTTGGCATAACCTTGCTTGAAGAAGCCAACATGCCTCTTAAGGGTGTGCCAAAAACCTTGCTTTCTTTGAATTGAAACCCTCAAAGCATAATCTTCAACCAAATCATTTGCTTCGCAAGCAATCGCTCTGAATTCCGAAATCCACAGTTGGACACATTCCCTGTCACTCTGCTTTGCTGCTACATGTTTCAAGAACCACTGCATCCGTTTCAAATCCTCATGTAGCAGCTTAACTTGATCAGTCACCCCGCGCAAAAAATTCCCTTCATCAATCAGCAATTTGCCTATACTTTTCACAGAAGATAATAAGATTGCTTCTGTCATTTGGGTTATGATGATTGATTGATTGATTCAGGTGTGGTATATGGAACTGAAGAGCCAAGGAAATAAAGGTTATAGGTTCTACCAAGAAGCGTTTCTGTTTTGCGTCTGCACTAATTTATCAACTCCTACACTTGAAAAAAAGGTCGAAGACATTGCCATACTGACTCTGAAGATTTTCCCATGCCTTATAGTGTGTAAGAATCTACATAGCCGCGTATGACGTTTGATCTAAAGGGCATCTCTTGTCTGTCAAGGAATTTTTAAAGGCCGTCTCTTGTCCTGTCTATCATGGAATTTTCCGGACCACTCATTCCCAGCTCTCTTATCCGTTCTTTTTTTTTTTTTTTTTCCTGTAAAGTCTATTAATGGTTAGTTTTTAAAAAAAAATTCGGTAATTGAATATTTTGCATCTGGTTACCAAACTATAAAATAATGCCACGTTCTTCCATCTATTTCACTTGCTCGATAGTATTTTCACCAACTGGTTTAGTCAATTGAGCTCCACTGGCAGACTCGTTTATTTCTTTTCAACAATCGAAATTACTGGAAACAACGCAACAAAATTAGATTAATACTTAGAGGTAATCGAAATTCTAGTGTAAAGTATAATCTAAGGTGGAACTCGTAAGCCAACACCAACCAGTCAATTGATAACTGAAAGTATGGTTGAGGACCTTAAACTCAAGGCAGACTCGTTTATTTCACACAAATAATTTTAATAACAAAATTTTATCAACTAATTATCTACTTTAAGGTATACTTACTGGTTTACATTGAAAGATATAACCAACCTCAAATTTAAAGCTAAAACTCACCAAGTTAAGACTTACAACAGTCCCTTTGTGAGAATGCCTACAAAGAATTTACTTTTAGATCTTCAAAAATTTCTATCCAATGGTACAAGGGATGCAACCTTTCGCCAAGAGTCAAAAGTTAGTTTCATTTGTTCTTTTTTTGGAAGGAACCTGAAGAGATTAATAAGAAATCAGAGAGGACTAAACTACCTACTGATTCAAACGAGTGCGTAGTGGAAGCCATTTAAAGTGGCTTGCCACATTTTGTGATCAAATGATGGGAGAAAATATTTGATCCCTTGCCTCCCACCCACCAACTTTGGTGGTGGCCACTGAGCTAAGCTCAGTGTTTATCAAAAGTTAATTTCATCATTTCCTCAACTTTTCTTCTTGACAGACTACTGGGAAAAGTTGCAATTGTTGACAGCCTATTGGGAAATGCTTTGCAATTGAGAGGTGTGAATCCGTGAAATTTGTTAGAAATTTTGTGGAATTTAGCGGTGAACATTACACGGCGGAAATTTAGGATTGACAGGAACTGAATCGTTGTCGGATTGGACGAATGTTTAGCACACCTGTTAGATGTTAGAAGAAAGCTACGTATTAAATCGAAGGTAAGGTTCAAATCTTTAATCTCTCAATCCCACAAAAACACTTGAGGTCTCTATGGTGGCCAAACTAACGCCTAACAGGGCATTGGGGAATAATTTATTTTGCTTCAAAAACAAATTGAAACTTAATATCACGTCAAGATTTTATTAGGAGATCATATGTATTCAGAAATGTTGTCAAAACACTAAACGAGAACAAAATCATGCAAAATAAATGACAAAAATGTTAGAAACTATCATCAACAAGAAGTAGGTACTATTTTATGGCCAACAGTCTACAGGATACTTGTACGATTTCAATGCACATTTCAGCGCAAGCAGCTTCGCAGCATCTCAAGATCTTTGGCTTCTCTCTGTCTACATTGTTATTAAAAAAAAATGAGTTTCTTATGTTAATTTGATTTTTTTCTATCATTTTTTTTGTAATTCTTTTCTTTTTTTTCTCTTTTGTTTCTCCACAATTGGCGCCTGTTTTTCCCGTGTAAAATAATTTCTTACATAAATCTTGTTTTCCAATTCAGGTTTAGTTTCTAAATTATTTTTGTACTGCTAAAAGTTTCTTCCTTGTTCTTCACTAATATTTTGGACCCATTCATAAAATTCCATTCAAGATGTAAATTTAAAACTAAAACTCACCAAATTAAGACTTACAACAGTCCCTTTGTGAGAATACGTAAAAAGAATTTACTTTTAGATCTTCATGAAGTTTCTATCCAATGGTACCAGGGATGCAACCTTTGACCAAGAGTCAAAAGTTAATTTCATCATTTCCTCAACTTTTCTTGTTGACAGCCTGTTGGGAAATGCTTTGCAATTGAGAAGTGTGAATCCGTGAAATTTGTTAGAAATTTTGTGGAAGTTAGCAGTGACCATTACGCAGCAGAAATTTAGGATCGACAGGAACTGAATTATTGTCAGATTGGACGAGTGTTTAGCACACCTGTTAGATTTTAGAAGAAATTTGCATATTAAATAGAAGGTAAAGTTCGAATCTTTAAAGTTTAAACCTCTCGTCCAACAAAAACACTTATGGCCTTTATGGTGGTCAAAGTAACAGCCCAACAGGCCATTGGTGGAATTTAGCTGTGAAGTACTGGGACTCGAGAGCATTCCTTTGTAGTGAAACAGCGAATTAGAAAACCAGTAGAAACCGGCAGATGCATTTCTTCCCTTTTCCATTCTTCGGCAAAAAAAAAAAAAAAAGCTTGAGATTTCGCGCTATTGTTGATAGTTTTGATTCTATTTTTGGTACATTGTTTTGTGCGAGGCAGCCCAGTTAAGCATGATTGATCAAAGTAGCTTTTGTAGTGAAGGTCCAAAAGGATTAGAATAATATATTTTGCTTCAACAACAAATTGAAACTTGTTATCTCATTAGGATTTTATTAGGACATCATATGCATTCAAAAATGTTGTCAAAATACTAAACGAGAACAAATTCATGCAAATAAATAGGGTGGCAACGGGACAGTTACCCGTGAGGGGAGTAATGGGACAGAGCGGGGGCGAGGGCGGGGGCGGGGGCAGGGAACAACACCCACACCCCGAACCCGGTTCAATTTATTAATATAAATAAATGGAATATATTATATATATAATCTAATAATAATAAATTTGGAATATTTAGCAACTAAACATTGCCCTTATTCCATTTCTATTCAAATTTCTAGTTGATATTTGGTACAAACATGTTACGCGTTCTATAAGTATTCCCAAATGTTATCTATACAATCCAATTGAGTTTCTTAATTTTCTTGGTGTTTTATTTCAACACTTTTCTTATTTCTGTTTTCTTTTTTCACTTTTTTCAACTCCGCATTTTATTTTATTCTTTAAATTAAGCTTTGATATATTAAATAAAAGTTTCCAAAAACAAATCAAATTATCACCCGCAAGAAAAGTGGAGCGAGGCGGGGCGAGGATGGGACGATCGGAGGTGGGGGAGGGGGCAGGGGCAGGGGGAGTTTTTTGGCAGCAGGACGGGGGAGAGATCCCCCGGCCCATACCCGCCCGCCATCCCTGAAATTAAATGACAAAAATGTTAGAAACTATCATCAAAAAGAAGTAACACTATTTTATGGCCAACAGTTTACACGATACTTGTATGATTTCAATGCACATTTAAGTGCAAGCAGTTTCGCTGCATCTTGAGATCTTTAGCTTCTCTTTGTCTACATTGTTATTTCAAAAAACATGAGTTTCCTACTTTTAATTTGATTTTTTCTATCATTTTTTTTTTTTGTAATTCTTTTCTGTTTTTCATTTGTTTCTTTACAATTGGCGCCTGTTTTTCCCGTGTAAAATAATTTCTTAGATAAATCTTGTTTTCCAATTCAGGTTTAGTTTCTAAATTATTTTTGCACTGCTAAAAGTTTCTTCCTTGTTCTTCACTAATATTTGAACCCATTCATAAAATTCTATTCAAGATGTAAATTTATTTCAACACATTTATTTTCCTAGATAAAACTTAAAGGCCGATATCACATGAATAGCCTTAAAAAGAATACAAAAGGTTTCTACATTGCTTCCACTAGCGTAGCATGTATTAGTTTGATCAGAAACCATACACACTTGAGAGCCAACTGCTCGGATGTCTTGCATTGTAAATCCATGCATGCAGCATGGAATGCATCCTCACTTTTGCTCTGTTTAAGAGGGAGAAACAAACAATACCACTAGGTGCTCTATAACAAGTCCCTTGCCTTTCCTTAGAACTGCAAAAAGCCAATGATGACTGCATCCTATCCTGTATCATAGTCTAATGAGGACAAAGTTGATAACAAGAGTTAACACTTAGGGATTACAGGCTCAACTTAAGATATTAACTCTACATGCACTTCAACGTAGGAAGATAATACATCTGGCATTTGAGCAAATGAAATACTATGGTCTAAAGGTAAGTGACTTGAAGAAGTAATTACTTGCTCGTTAGTCAACTACTGAGTCACTCTATCCTTGACTGATTTTGGTTTTCCCTTCTGGAGGTTCAGTCTCAGATTTGAATCAGTGATGACTGTTCTTTGTCTAGTTCGAAGATCACCTTTACCGTCAGGTACTTCCTTAAGCGATGTTCTTGTGCTTATACAGCCATCAGCAGCAACAGGCCTCGGAGTAACCTTACACCGGGCGTGTCTATTCTCAAACAGACTTTGCCTTTTCATACTGGCAAGTATATCACCTTTTGGCTTGTTTTTGCTTCCAATCATTTGATCATTATCTGAACCCAAAATAACAAAATAAAACAGAATCAACATTGCAAAAGATAATTGGACAGCATCTTGGCAGTGAAAGCAAAAGGCTCCTCTTGGGAGGTCAAGCTTGAGGACTTGTGATCTCATATGTCTGAGTTGTGTTGGATAACATAAAGCTCGTTGTATTTACCTACGACTTTTAAAAGATTTACATGTTCTGTCAAAATTTATAAGTAGAATGTGCTTCTCGAAAAATAGAGATAATGAATTATTGTTGTAGAAAATCAAGCATTCATTTTGGGACAACTCAGATAGAAAGTTGTCCCCATTTTTTTGAAACATAGGGGTGGAGAAAAGCATGAAATATTTGAGTCAATGTCCTTGATTGTCTTCCAAAGTTTCTGCAACTATTAGATGCCTTCCCTTACAGTTGGTTTGAGTCATGATCCCTTTGATCAAAACAGTTACTCTTGACCAGTTAATAGTTATCACAGACTGCAGCTATATGAGAACAAGAACAACCTGATGCAAAGGAAGCCAAATGGACATATTCATCTGCTAAGTTTTAACCTATCGATTAAAAGGATATACAATAAACACTACAAGATTAGAAGATGCAAGCATATTCTTCTAGAAAATGACTGTTTTTCATCTCTGACCAGTTTATGACGTCTCTTAACTCATTCACTTTTGCTTAAGCTTTGGTAGGAACAGATCTTCCAAACACCTTCACATTTAAATGTTGATATTAGAAAAGATCTGTTACTCCAATCACAGTCATACCTAAAGGTGCAAAGAACATTAATATGAGCATTTCGAAATCCCCCTTTTCCCCTCTCTTCATTTTAGGAAAGATTACAAAAATAGGCCAAGGTTGACATGTTAGGATTTCAACAAGAACAATTAAGGCCAGTTATTTAACTCAACGACATACAGTTATGAAATTGAGATAATCCAACAAATATTTGTTTTGCAACAGCAACAGCAGTCAGACACTATTTTGTGCTCACAACAGAACAAGGAACACAAAGTAAAAGGAGTCATCCATAAAGAAGAGTGGCATTAAAAGTCATAGATCTAGTGGCATTAATTATAGAAGAAGAGTTCCCCTTCAGTCCTGTGACTTATATAAAACTAATCATCCACGATTTTGCCCTGCATGAGTTCCCAAGATGTCACATCCCTAGCTATTACTTGCTCTAGCTGTCCCTTAATTCAATGTCATGCCCAAAAGAAGGGAGATTTTCAATTAGATGAAAGTTCAATCATTGTGTGAACAAGAGAATTCAAAGCCGAAGAAAACATATCACTCATTCTCCAGAGTAATATGTACCTTTCCAGAGGCCTCCTTTCAAACAAAATTCACTGAATAATTTAGTTTTATACAGATTTATCGGGATTCAAGAGGGGATATTCAGTGAAAAGAAACCATATTAATATTTCCGGAAAGTGGCCTAAAATGACATAGAATTAGTGGCGTTAATCAAAGAAGAATCCCCCTTTAGTCCTATCGCTTACATAGAAGTAATTATCCATGATTCAAACCATAGGAGAGTTCCCCATATGTCACATCCCCGCTGTTGTAACTGTCTCTTAGTCAATATCATGCCCAAGAAAAGGGTGATGTTCACATTAGATGAAAGTTCACTTGGTCGTGGATGAGAGCACTCAAAGCCACAGAAAAGAAAGTTCACTCACTCGTGGATGAGATTACTCAAAGCCACAGAAAACACATTGTTTATTCTCCAGACAGTAATATGCATTTTTCCGGAGGCCCTCCTTTCAAACATAATTCACTGCATAATATGGTTTTATACAGCTTCTTCGGATTCAACAGGCCACGTTGGATGTAAATAAAACATATTTCTCCAGCTTTCCAGCATTGGCTCTGTGAGAAGTTCAAAAAGGATGTACCTGGACTGGACAAGACAGCACGTGGTCTTGGAATTGGACTAGCTCTGATATTTGTTTTGTTTTCTTCCAAGAGTTTCTGTTTCCTGTTGCTAATTGCTCCTTTGATCACCAGTGAGGATACTAAGTCAATACAATAACTATAAAATATATGCCCTGCAGGTACTAGCGGGCTAAGAATGAGATTTTGCACACACAGAGACAATAGGTATACCTGAAGTAGAGCTATCAAATCGAGGCACTCTCACAACAGATGTAGGGGAATTGTCTTCACATTCCAAAGGAAAAAAAAAAAAAAAAGAAAGTCAACAATACAGAATATACAAGGGCTTAGCATAAGAAGCTACTCAAAAAGTAAAAGACTCAACTATTCAAGGTCCTAAAGAAAATTCTCAATCGATTTATTCCTTCATTTCTTTGATATATATGTTTACTTTAAGTAGATGGCCTTCATCAGATAAAACTTCTCTAACTAAATGAAAGCCGTTCTCTCCAGTGCTAGAATACCATGGTTTTAATGAACAAAGAGTGCACAAAGTTTGTCAGTGCTATGATAAATATACTGCTCCAAGCAGAAGCATAGGCAAGTTCACTCGATCGCGCCAAATACTTCATCGAATATGTATCTCGCAAAATAACAACATATAATTTGATCTAGGAGCTCAGGAAGCAAATCAGAAAACAAAAGGAAAAAAAGGAAACTTTCTGTTCTTATTCTTTCAATTGTGAAGTAAAAGAAGGGAACAAACTGAGACGAAGTAAAAGAAGGGAACAACAAAAGAAATTCAGCAACAATACAAACACAAAAACATCAAAAACAAATTCTTCAGGAGTGAGAACAGGAAAGTAAACAAATCAAGTGGTTTACCTGGAGAAGAGAAGTCATTCAAAGAGAAACATTCAGGAGTCTTCAATGACTGCAAAGACCTGGTCTCAAACTCATATTGATCATCATAATCTTCTTGTTCCCTCACTTTCACTTTCGGATACACTGGAGAAGAAAACAACAGAAGGGAATTCAATTGACAACCCTTAGCACCACACAAAGAAAACACCACAAAGAACCCAAAAATTAAAAGATAAAAAGCTCAATATACCCACTTGTTATTCTGCTTGCAGATGCTTCAGGAGTTATCCGGAGAGTTTTTTCAATTTTGGGTCATAAGAATTCACACAAAATTCTTGAAACCCACAAAAGAAAAAGAAAAAAAAAGCTGCGAATGAAGGATTATTCAGTTTATGCCTTTTTTCGACAACTGATACGAAAAAAAAAAAAAGCTTAAAAGTCAGCAAGCAGCATAGAATGATCTCTTGGGGCTTGGAGGGTTACCGTTAGTACTATCAGATACTAAAAGGACAAGTCAAACGTTAGGCTCTTCTAGACAGTGTTTGTTCGTTTAGAAATGGGAATGGGACAAGTAATTAAGACACATGGGCCATAGGGAAAGTTTGATGATAAATTGAGAATTCGAGTTGAATGAATCAGATTTGCGTTTCTTTTGGAAATGGGGGGACGGATGGACATTGACGATCGGGTCAACTCTTGCGTATTTTTGGCAACGTGTTTCTGTGGAAGTTGAAGAGTTGGCCGCGTGGGATGGGGACTCGTTGCAAAAATGTGCTTCTACGACACTCTTATGTTACGCAAAGGTCAGCTATAAATATAATAACGTATGTGGCCCGTGGAGCAAATAAAATAGACAAACTCTTTTTTTTTTTAATCTCTTTTTATTTTCCTAAATTTTTTAGGACATAAAATAGACAAAAGCTAGCCATTTGGGTTTTTTTATTATTGTTTTGTTACTCTAATTTAGAGAAATGTAAAAAACTAGCTTCTTTTCCTTTTGGTTGATTGTGCTTTTTTGAAAAATTCATTTATTTTATGAAAATTTTTATGATTATTTTTTTGAAAATTTTTCTTATAAAATTAATCTTCTATATGTTGCAGTGTATACACTGTGAATGCATGACTACTAATCGAGATTTAAAATTTAAAATCTAATTTTTTGCATATATAAGATGCATCTAACTCTATTAATGTATGTACTATCAGTATATAAAAGATTAATCATTTGTTTAATTAACATGATGTTTTATTTTTTATTATTAGAAAGTCTAATTCTACTACTCATTGTACCATAAAATATACATTATGATGTAGTCTTGTTAAAGAAGTGGGAAATTTTGTTCTTCTTATTTGTGTCCAATAACCACGTGTTAATGTCAGCAATTACTTGATTAATACTAATAATGTATTGAATCATGAACAAATTGGCTTGACTTATGTTTGTGTAGTACTCCCTCCATCCTATTTTATTAATCTTGATATCTATTCTAGCCAGTCTCAAATTACTTGTCATTAAATAAAAAAGGCTAACCTTCCAATTTTACCCTTTTTCAATTTTCAAAAAGGGCATTAAAGTTATGTTTCAATATTAAATACTCTAATAAATCATTATAAAATTCAAAATTCAGAAGCAACAAACAAAATGTGAAGCTAAATTAAGGGGTAATCATGAAAAGAAGTAAAATACAACCAAAAGTTATGCACTTGTTAATACAAAAAGCCAAATTGGTTTAGTTATTGCTAATTTCGTATTAGGTTAAGCATATGTTGATATAAACCAAATTGACCTAACTTTTTTTTTTTAAAAAAAAAACTGTAATACTTTAATAAAAGTTGTTGTCGCAAAATGAAGCTTGAAATTGTACTAATATACGAAATATATATATATATATATATAATGACAATTTTGAATTTCCTTGATTTAGATCGTAGTAAGAAAAAAATGGGAAAAAAAAGGAAAAAACAATTATGCTATTCACCGCTTTAAACCTTAAAAAGCCGTTACTGTTAAAGATTTCGAAAGCACAAAATCCCCAAACTCTTTAGGGTTTTAGCTAGGGTTTTAATCTTTCCTTAAATTACTTAAACTTGCAATTAGGATGTCTTCGATTCTTTATTCGTCAATGATTAATAAAGTAAAATCAAGCTTGTCATCCAATCTCCGCCGTTTTTCTACTGCAATTCGTCGCTATATTGGAGATGAAGGCGACTGGTTTTACTCCTCTGAGTGGTGGGGAACCGACTCCGGTTCAGATGGTCAAACGGTTTTCCGAGCAGTTTCCGACAAAGGCAACGGTGTTGTCTCCGTCCTAGCTTACCCTTCTTCCAAACCAGTTCAGTTACCCCTCTACCTTCTTTCCCTATACTTGCATTTGTATCAAAATTGTCTGAAGTTTTTTTTTTTTTTAAATATTGTCGTGATGAAATATATGGGTTTGTTGTTGAAGAAGAGTATTTTCGAATGAGTTTGGTATAAAAGTAGACTATCTTGGCTCTCGTAGATGAATGATTGCGTATGTATTGGTAATTTCAGATTACCAATGTTTTTATTATCACAACTTTTGCATTCCTAATATCTGTAAATAGAAGCAATTTTTGGAGTTAATGCTTATCAATTATGAGGAACCGAGCTGTTAGAAGAAACTAGGAGGATAAAGCGTAAATGGTGAAGGAAAATTTGAATTGTTTTTAATTCTCTGACCAGTGAAAGTCACTGATCAAACTATGGAAACAAAAGCTGTTGGACAGAATTCGGTCCTCTATCACCAACCAAATGAAAATTTTCTTCTTATATATGCCTTCAAATGACAATGAGTTGCTGCATCTACTTATGCCTCTTTCACGGATAGAGGAAGGGACAAAGTTGGAAACTTTTCTTATTTGTCTGAACTGCATTGATTAAGCGTTCTCGGTGCATAGCTTCTAGATGGTAGAAGAAAATAAAATATACCCTCTTGCTCCCAACTTTAGTTTCTCTTTGATAATTTGGACGAGTTTTGCACATCAATTGCATGGTTTGTATATAGTGTCTAGAAGAAAGAAGTTTTTTATATCTTACTTGGCTAGGAATATCAAAGGGCTTCAAAATTGGATGCAGGACAACATATACTGGCACAAAACAGAGAGTTGGCTTCAGCAAAGATTTGCTGAGATACATCCTTTCTGTGAAAACAATGGATTCAAGGTTATTGGTTATCAATGGCGAACTCTTCACTTTAATGATGATACTCGACAAAGCACGGTTAAAATCATGGCTGCTTATGAGAAGTCCGATCCTGCTTCTGTTTTCTATATGCAGCAGCCACATTGTCTGGCTGTTCCATGTAATACTTGCTTTTTCTTTTTCTTTTCTGGATGTATGTCACCATAATTTCTCTCAAGCTAAATACCATGTTTGTAGTTCACTGCTTCAAACTTGTTTATATTTAACTAACTGGGATATGATGTCTTCGTTACCTGTCATGTTGATTGATAACTGTTTATGAAAATTCACTAATTTAAAATGTTTGTATGCTTTAGCTTGATGCTTATACCAGAAGTTTCTTGCAGATGTGAAGAGCATGATATCCGCTGGGTTAGTTACCATCTCATCTTGCAACTTTGATCTCAATAGTGCTATTTGTGGGAAGAAAATCATGAATGTATTATGCATTGGTCATGGTGGGGGAAGCATACCTCTCTTTATGGCCAGTAAAATTGAAGGTTAGACAAGAAAATGTTTGCCTTGAGGTCTCAGATGTCCAGTATCCTCCAAACTCATGTAACAAGTTTTTCTACTTGCATTCATGCTGATGTAAATTATTGATGGTCCATTTGTAAATTTGCTTTCTGCTGGTGTGCAAGTCTGCATCTCTCACTCTCTCTGTGTTCTGGATGCCTTATTATGGTTATGTTAGGAAAAGGTTGCAATCTTGATCTTGCTGAACTGCAAAGATTGCTATAAATGGATTGGTCTTTTTCTCTTGCCATCTGTTACTTTGTATTTTAGGAAACTGACATTGCATTTCATGCTTTCTTCAGGTGCCGTAGTTCACATAGTTGAAATTGATCCCCTTGTTATTTCAGCCTCAACTCAAGCAATGGGGTTCCCACCATTTGCAGTAATGATGATGTCTGGGGAACGTGCTTGCCCAGAGCCTGATCCCGTTAATGAAGTATTATGGAAAGGGATTCATGAGAGACTCCTATTATACGAGTCAGATGCTGAGAAATTCATTTCTGAGACAACCACCCTGTATGACATTGTTTTCATTGATGCCTATGACAGTGACGACATCTTTCCTCACAAACTATGGGACCCACATTCCCCATTTCTTAAAACTCTAGCAAACAAGCTGCATCCTGAGCATGGAACAGTAGTCCTGAACCTTCATTCAGATACAGACTTGAGTGTTGATACATCTGTTTCACCTGTCTTCTCCGTTTTGCCAATGGGGAAGTATGTCTTTAGCGTGTGCAGAGCCTATAAAGATGTATTGCTGGGGGATAGGAGCTTGCATGGTGGGTTGGCATACACAGTTTCTGTGCCTTGGGTGTGTAATACCTCCCTTGTTGTCTCTAGAGGTTTTGGAAAAGCTTGCAGCAGGAATATGGTTTTCAACTCCCTTCTGTCCTCATCTTTGCAAGTTGAAAATATCCTTCAATTGCCATTTTCATGTCTGCACTATATTAAAAGAGGTTTCACCCTTTTTGATTGATCATCTAAGATGGAGCTTAATGATTTTAACTTCTCAAATGAGCTTGGAGGGGATAAGTTGAGTTTGATTAACTTTACACGTTCTCCAAGAACAAAAAACAGTAGTTGTGTTAATATAGAGGAAGAAAAGAAATCAGAGCTCTCCCCTTGATGGCAAACTTCGCATGTGCACCAGGAGTTTGGAGGGTCATCATCTGGAGATCTGCAGTTCATGCATCATACATGTCTGCTCTCGAGGTTTCTACTAATTCTTGCACAATGGACTCCTGGTGTGTTGTTGTTGTATACTTGGCGTTAGTGCCTTCCATCCTGCCATTACAGTTGTGCTCACAATTGATATGAGTTTTGACGTTTGTATGTTCAATCAATCTATAAATATACATAAGTTAGCTTGATTCTTCCATTTTAAAACTCAGGCTGCCAAGTGCCGAGTGCTAGCCAAATCTATCCACTTCAACTTGACGGTTTCTATCCTCATGTTCAAGCCATTATTTTGCCATGTCAGAGCTAAAAATGCATAGCAACATAAAGCATTATGATACAAGCTCAGTACGAGGAGAAAATCCTTGAATTTATGAAATGTATTTCAAAGCACAAAGAAATCTTCAAAAAAAAAAAAGGGATAAATCTTCATCATTTACTAGTCACAAAATCCAATCAGTCGACAAATTTTGAGACAACAAGCTGTCAATTTCCAGTAACTTCTCGGTAAACTGACCTAATTGAAGCTTCCAATGCTTGCATATCATCCGAAGATCAAGGACCATCAAAATTATCTGTTTTAAAAGAGAAAAAAAAAAAAGGGGTCTTCTGGCTAAATTGATAATATCTTGAACCCCTCTCTCATTACGAATTGGTTTTCAGATAGAAACCTAAATTCTAAGGTTTTGAAATGCAATGACAAAGATTAGTAAGACGACAGCTGACTAGGTTCAATTACTTAACCAAGATTAATTGTGAATTCAGGACAACTATGACAACTTAAGTTGGATGAGAAACACTAAGCTTATCTAGTAATTGTTGGCAAGTTACACTTGTAGATAATCCAAAGAACCTGACTTCCAAAAAAAAAACTATAGTACCAGATATAATATCTTAGTTAATCGGTTAATAGTAAAACCAACATGCTTTTTCTCGTACCGTACTAGTAATTCTTTATTGAGGATCAGATAGAGCAAACATTGAGAAAGTAATAATGCTTATTAAAACAAAGAATCTAATTTATGAAGCTGAAAAATCACTAGGCAGAAATTTGGATCCCGACACATACACCAATATGGACAGCAAAGTAATAGAAGCAGGAGAAGGATCACAAATAGAGCAAACTAAATGACTAGATGCAGATAGCAGTATCAGACGACATTCTTCAAAGTAATAGATGTTTGATCAAGTCACTTGTATGAAGTTTAGAATACCTTTTGAGCGTGCATTTCTTTGCCATGGCTCTGAGTTGAGCTATCAGCAAAAACTCGAGATTGATTGTGGCCATTGATGTAGTACAAAAGAGTAACTTGAGAGACTTCTTAACACCAAATTCATTCACTGCATGAAAGTTGGAGATCAGATCGATTTCCTCCTTGAGTAAAGCTTTCATCCTTCCCTCGTGCATCTTCTGAGCGGCTTGGAGATTGCTCAACTCTTCACCTTTCTTGATCAAATGGGGGAAGTACAGATTTCTCCTTGTCCCTGATGACTGACAAGCTGAGTTTATGTTAACAGCCGAGGCAACATTGAAACTTTTCTCTCCACTAAAGTCTGGATGAGTCTCCTCTTTTACTTTTTTGTTCGTAGAGTTATTCTTGTCAAGGATCCTCCTGAAATTTTTTAGAGAAGAGAGTTTGTGCACCATTTCCATAGCAAGAGATGATTCTGGAAGTAGTCCTAACTCAAAGTCAAGTATGGTTAAAGGCATGTCTGGGAGTTTGGGACTCTCTAATTTCAAGATGTTTGACTTGAATGGTTCCGTTCCAATTCCTTCAGTATGCTGCATTGGATTCAACAGTTGTGGTTCCTGTCTCTCCTTCATCAATGGCTTTCTTGCCTCTTTGGTTGTGCTATTGAACATCTCTGAAGATGATTCTCCAAATAAGCATTTGAAATCAGAAAGCCACAAATCTTCTTGCTTCATTATCAGGGCAAATTCCGTTGCCACCAATGCTTGTGGAGTGCCTACCCAATTGGATATATGAGCATCTGTATCATTTTCATCTTTTGTTTTGAAAAGAACTCTTCAGCTTTTGTTTTACAGGATCTGTCATGCAAACCGAAGCCATTTATGCGAGCTGGAACATGTTCTGAAAAAAGAAGAAAGGAAGATACTGTTTCTTAGTTATATAAGAATCATTTCCGAAATGAAAATTTAGCTTGTAGATATTGAATCCTTATACTTTGTACGGAAAAAAATTTGTCAAAACTCAAAATAAAAAAAAGACAAATAGAACAAGCATTGAGAAAGTCATAATGTCTATTAAAATAAAGATGCTCATTCATGAAACTGAAAAATCACCTGGTAGAAATTTGGACCCCAACACATACACCAACATGGATATCAAAGTAAAAGAAGCAAGAGAAGGATCACAAAAAAACACACACACACACACATGTAGCACGCAATTTGGACCCCGACACAGACACCAATATGGACATCAAAGTAATAGAAACAGGAAAAGGATCACAAATAGAGCAAACTAAATGATTGGAATCAGAAGGGAAACTAAATGACCGGAAGCAGATAGCAGTATCAGACGACCTTCTCTAAAGTGACTCCTAGAGAAGCTTGATCAAGTCACTTTGTTAAGTTTAGAGTATCTTTCAAGCTTGCGTTCCTTTGCCATAGCTCTGGGTTGAGCCATCGGCAAAAACTCGAGATTAATTGTGGCCACTGATGTACTACAAGAAAGTAACTTGAGAGACTTCATAATACCAAATCCATTCGCTGTATGAAAATTAGAGATCGGATTGATTTCATTATTGACCAAAGCTTTCATCCTTCCCTCGTGCATCTTCTGAGCGGCTTGGAGATTGCTCAACTCTTCACCATTCTTGATCACTGAGGGGAGTACAGATTTCTTCCTTGTCCCTGGTGGCTGACAAGTTGAGTTTGTACTAACAGCCGAAGCAACATTGAAACTTTTCTCTCCACTAAAGTCTGGATGAGTCTTCTCTTTTACTTTTTTGTTCATAGAGTTCTTCTTATCAAGGATCCTCTTGAAAGTTTTCATAGAAGAGGGTTTTGTGCTCCATTTCCATAGCAAGAGATGATTCTGGAAGTAATCCTGACTCAAATATGGGGAAGGGCATGTCTGGGAGTTTGGGAATCCTTGATTTCAAGAAGTTTGACTTGAATGGTTCTGCTCTAACTCCTTCAGTATGCTGCATTTCATTCAACAGTATTGGTTCCTGTCTATCCTTCTTCAATGGCTTTCTTGCCTCTTTGGTCATGTTATTGAGCAGCTCTGAAGATGATTCTCTAAATAAGCATTTGAAATCAGAAAGCCACGCATCTTCTTGCTTCATTATCAGGGGAAATGCCGTTGCCACCAATTCTTGTGGAGTGACTATCCAATTCGTTATATCAGCATCTGCTGTCATTTTCATTTTTTTTTTTTTGAAAAAGACTCTTTAGCCTTTTGTTTTACCGGATCTGTCATGCAAACTGAAGCCATATGTGCGAGTTGGAACATGCTATTGAAAAAAAAAAAAAAAAAAAGAAAGTAAAGAAAAGAAGATACAGTTTCTTAGTCATATAAGAATATTCTCTGGAATGAAAATTTAGCTTGTAGATATTGAATCTTCATACTTTGTAGGGAAAAGTTTTTGTTAAAACTCAAAAAAAAAAAAAAAAATAGAGCTAGCATTGAGAAAGTAATAATACTTATTAAAACAAAGATGCTAATTCATGAAACTGAAAATCTCCCGGCAGAAATTTGGACCCTGACACGTACTAATATGAACATCAAAGTATAATAAAAAAACACACATGCATGCATACAATTTGGACCCCGATACATACACCAATATGGACATCAAACTAATAGGAGCAGGAGAAGGATCACAAATAGAGCAAACTAAATGACTAGAATCAGAAGGAAAACTAAATGACTGGAAGTAGATAGCAGTATCAGACGACCTTCTCTAAAGTGACTCCTCGAGAAGCTTGATCAAGTCACTTTTGTTAAGTTTAGAATACCTTTTGTGCTTGCGTTCCTTCGCCATGTCTCTGACTTGAACCATCAGCAAAAACTCGAGATTGATTGTGGTCACTGATGTAGTACAAGAGAGTAACTTGAAAGTTGGAGATCGGATCGATTTCCTCATTGACCAAAGCTCCCAAGTGCATCTTCTGAGCAGTTTAGAGATTGCTCAACTGTTCATCTTTCTCGATCAATGGGGCAAGTACAGATTTCTTCCTTGTCCCTGATGACTGACAAGCTGAGTTTATGCTAATAAATGAAGCAACATTGAAACTTTTCTCTCCACTAAAGTCTTAAGTCTGGATGAGTCTTCTCTTTTACTTCTTTGATCGTAGAGTTATTCTCGCCAAGGATCCTCTCGAAATTTTGCATAGAAGAGGGTTTGTGCTCCATTTCCATGGCAAGAGATGATTCTAGAAGTTGTCCCGACTCAAATATTGGGAAGGGCATGTCTAAAAGTTCAGAAATCGCTGATTTCAAGAAGTTCGACTTGAATGGTTCCGCTCCAACTCCTTCCGTATGCTGCATTTGATTCAACAGTATGGACATCATAAGTAATAGAAGCAAGAGAAACACACACACACACACACACACATGCACACAAGATTTCTTTGCACGGACAAATGAAATTCGAGATATGATGCATAGCATAATTATTTGTGAAAAACAATTACCTAATTTCCTCCTGCTGTTTTGTTTTCCTCAGGCTCGCTGGCACTCACAAATTTGGAAGAAACATGTCGAATTTTCTCAAAATCCATACCTAATTATCAAATCCTTGAGACCTAATACAGATTTCAATCCACCTGGAAGCAATAACCAGGTATCTGCACCGATCAATATCTAGACGAGAAAGATGGCAAAGATCCTTCTTCCCACCATCCAATAAATATATTGGGCAAGCTGCAAAATTGTAGACATTTAATTTGGGGAAAGGCATGTGCATGGCAGGTCAAGAATTTCCTTTTTTTTTTTCTTTTGAAGAAAAGAATTTCCTTATATAAGCATTAGATGACTATTCTAAGGGATCGTAATTGAGGAGCCGCCATCTCCTTTTCATTGCTTATTAAACTCAGTTTTACAAGTGTTTGAGGAACTGTGGGTCATGCATGCATGTTGCGAAAACTTGATCAACTTTGCCTTGGATAACAAACCGTGGAGTCTTCTACTTGATGAAACTTTTCCTCTTAGAAAATCACAGTCACCAA